GTGTTGTGTGTGTGTGTGTTATATATATATATATATATATATATGTTTATATATATATATATATATATTGTATGTGTAAACCAAACGCATACGAAATTTACGAACTGCAATGAAGATAAAATATCAACTCTGATCAGGTTCGTGCTACAATTAATGACGGTAATCTGCGTTAATCTTCACTACATTGTCCTTGATAAAACCGTACTGAAGAACACGGATATACAAGGTTTATATAATTATATATGTTTGTTCGCATGAAATGAAACACAGAGGCTGTTTACCTTCTTCATGCGTTCTCTTAGTAGCGTCGGGTGTCTCCTCCTCCTTGTTCGCTTCTCCTTTAACCTGAGCTCTGAGAGCAGCCAGGCGTGCTTTCCGTTTCAGCGCCTCATCTTCCAGTGTACCAACACCACTCATACTGTCGTCAAACTCCAGCTATGTTCGTTCTGAACTACACTCTACACACTTGCAATGGAATTGAGTATGTATATTGCATTAATATTATGTATTGTAGTATGTGTATTTATCTTGTGGATTTCTAATGTGATTGTGCTGCAGTGTGTATTCATCCTAAGTTTGGCGTGTTTTATAAGCCGACAATGTATATGAGACACGTTTTAAACTATTACTTTGTCTTAAATTGTTCTATTTCCATCGCAGCCCTAGAGTCACAGTCTGTAAGTATACGACATATTGATACATCGCAAACTCTTGCATCGACAACAGACCCCACGCGCTTTGTACGGTCGTGTTGCAAAAAAGGGGGAGAGGGTAAATAAACACTGAGATGTTAAAAAAATGTTTAAATTTAATATCCATCTAATCCATTCTGAGAGAAACAAGGCATATGATATATATATATATATATAAATACATGTTCATTAGACGTTGCAGGTACCCGAAGCGAACGATACTATTGATATAATAAATTGTCGATACTTTCAATAGATACATAGCAGTTGACGCATGATACTCGCATCCTCTCTGTACTCTAGATAAGATACTGTTCACTCTCGGCTCGTAATCGACAATATGTTTTTGTCGCGAGGTTCAGTGGGGCTCAGGAGGCTTGTAGCGACAGTACAACTATCGCACATAAGAGGTATGTGGCATTCAAACACAATCAGTTTGACATTATAGGCAACCATATATATATATATATATATATATGTATATATGTATATGTATACATATATTTATATGTGTGTGTGTGGTGTGTGTGAGTATATACATATATATATTTGTGTGTGTTGTGTGTGGTGTGTGTGTGTGTTTTGTGTGTGTGTCTGTGTATTTATATATATATTGCGATACTTATGGATCGATCACGTATTGAATGTCCATATTTGTGTTTAGTTTGTAATGTGGATTTGTTTATACGTATATGG